TTCTTTTGATTTGATCTCTTCTTCTATTTCTCTACGTCTTTGTGACCCTTTTTCCCTAAAAACTTTATTCAATTGAATCAAAATTCCCCTCATATATGCTTTACTAGCGTCCCACACCATAGACATCGATGTTCCCTTATTCATATTTATAGTAAAAAAGTCCTTTAAATGTTCTTTACACTTTTGTACGAACTCCTCCCGATTAAATAAGTTCTCATTCAATCTCCAGGATCTTCTATTCCCGTCTTCCGAATATAACTCCATCCACACCGGACTATGATCTGACAATGTTCTAGGAAAAATTTTCACCTTCCTCACTCTAGGGAGGAAGTCACTAGTAATCAAAAAAAAATCAATCCTTGAAAATGACTGGTGTCTATCAGAATAAAAGGTAAAGTCTCTATCACTTGTATTCCTTTCTCGCCAAATATCAATAAGCTCCAATTCTTCCTTCAAATCAAAGAAAGTCATAGGTAATTTAGTTTGAATAAAAGTTTTAGAGGAACTTCTTTTGTCTATAGTTGGGTCTAAAACCCCATTCCAGTCACCCATCAAAATTACCGATTTATAATCCAACTGAGATATCTTGCCATGCAGCAACTTATAAAATTGTTTCTGTTGTTGATTGGGAGCATATAGTCCAACAATAAGAACCTTTCGGCCTTGTAATAATAATTCCACAAAAAGATATCTTCCTTCAGAATCAGCCTCAATTAGTTTAGCTGAAAAAGTTTTCTTCACATAAATTACCACTCCCCCTTTTTTCCCAGGGGCTGGAGCAGTAAAATATGTGCCCAGACGGGAATTCATCAAAAATTTAGAATCCTTTAAAGTTATATGAGTCTCCTGCAAACATATCAAATCATTATTATGTTGTTTCAAATAATGAAAAATCTTTCTTCGTTTCTGGGGCACGTTTAAGCCATTAACATTCCAGGTCAGGAACCTGACCATCTCCACCGGCCTGGAGCCTCTGGAGCATGGCCTGCAGATCTGCTGTCGAAGATCTTTTTGGTCTTGCCCCTCCCACAGGCTCTGTAACAACCAAACTTTCACCACTCTTCTGCAACTGCTCTTTTTCTTTACGTTTATGGGCAGCTCGTGTCATCCTTTGCTCTTTTATGTCAGAATTCGGTGCAGCTTGTTCCATAACCATCATTGATGAGGCTCCTGCCATAAGAGACTCTTCCGTCATCCTTATTTGTGGAGGTGGTGACAATCTTGCTTTTAAGATAGACTGATAAAAATCTCTTGCTTTGGAAACAGTAGTTAATCTGTGACGTATCCCTTCATAATTTACTATTATTCCTCTTGGAATCTCCCATCTGAACTGAATTTGACGATGTTTCAACTCATCAGACAAGAAAGTAAAATCTTTTCTGGCTCTTAAAATTTTTGGAGGTATCTCTTTTAAAATTATCACGTCTTGATCAGCAATTTGAAACTTTTGTTTGTAAAAAGCCTGTATAATTTCATTACGGATAGATCTTCTAGAAAAATAAATAACCACATCTCTTGGTAGATTTCTCTGTCTAGCAACCCGTGAATTAACTCTAAAAATTTTTTCTATCTCATTCTCAATTATTTCAGGCCGCCAACCAATATTAGGAGCAATATCTTTCACAATAAGCATCTTTAAGTCTTCCTGAGGGTTCTCCCTCAGGCCTCTGATACGCAATGCGTGTTCCATCTCCCTATATTGTGAAATGATTTGTTCATCCTGTGTAATTTCTATCTTGTTCTCTACCTCCTGCATTCTAAATTCCATCCTTGATGCATTTTCAGTAATCTTTTCCATCTGGTCATCAATCCTTTCTATGTGCAGGGCTAGGCCCTGAAAGGCCAGAAGGATATGGTCTCTTACTTGTTTATTCTTTTTCTCCAATAATTCTTCTGTATTAGCCCTCTCTGCAATTATAAGATCTTTTACCTCCTCCTTAATATCCAAGGCATGCTGTTTTAAAGCATCTTGTAAATCATTAAGAGAAATTGCAGGAGGAGGAGGAGAAGGTGGAGGTGATTTTGGTTTCTGAGATGCAGGCTGAGGCATTGGAGAAGAAATAGGAACCTTAGGGGCGGGAGGCAGACGTTTTGAAGCCATTTTCTTAAGTTCCAAGAAGAAAGATTCTTATTGAAAAAAAAAAAAGGGCACAGTTCTTTTAAGTGTTCTTAAAAAAAAGAGAAAAAAAAATAGAGAAAAAAAGAGGAAAGAATAAAAGCCAAATTCTTACTTCTGTATTTAAAGAGTTAATCTGTATCCAGGTTTTACTCTGTAATGCAAATCAGGCAAGAAAGACGATCGCCATTTTAGTTTTCACTTTCCCTTTCTTCTAAAGGGAAAGTGAACAAAAGAAAAGGAAGAGGAAACTTGCTGAAGTTAAAGGCACCATCAAACTTAAGCACAGTCTCTCCTGGTCTGCTCCGTCTGCTTTCAAATACTCACAAGCAGCTGGAAAAAAAAGCAGATGTGGAAGCGGCAACTTGCTTCATCCCAAAAACTTCGGAATGAAGTCTCCCTGGAACGCGGAGTTGCTCAGGCTCCGAGGGAGCTCTACCCTCCGATCCCCAAAATAACAGGAATCCAGGGGAGCTCTTACCTCTACCTGAGAGCTCTCCTCCTCCCTTTTTCCCAGGGAGGAGATTCAAGCCGCGGGACAGCTGATTGTCAAAGTCCCGTGGGTTTTACACGCACCAGGAACGGGCGGCTTTGTAAAACGCCGCCATTCATCATCCGCTGGAACCACCGGAAGTCTAGAATAGACTCTCTTGAATAGAGTCTAATTCTATTGGCTTTCAAAAGCCAATAGGAATTATCCAGGCTGTCTCTGCCCTGCTGAGCCCGACAAAAGTCCCATTCTGCAAACAGTGCTGCAAGTTGTCTGCAGCGAAGGCGAGCTGTCTGGAAGTTTCCACCCCTCCCTGCTGAGCAACTACTAAAAATGTAAGTAAAAGAGGGCCAAGGGTGGGGGGTGGGAGGCCGGTGGGCGCAGGGAGGGTTGCTGGCGTGCGTGGGTGCCTTACCTCCCTTGGGCTGGGCCAGCTGGTGGCCCAGCCGGTGGTCGGCCTGCACTGTCTCTGCCGCTTGCCAGCTATGCCTCAGCCAGCGCAGGGGGCGGCACCATGCATGCACAGCGCTCCTCAACTTACGACCGGTTGGGTAGTCCTCGACTTACGACCGGTTGGGGGTCGTGGCATTAAAAAGGTTGAGAACCACTGGACTAGACAGTCACTTATCTTAAATAGTATAGGTTCCCCTGCTCGAGCAGGGGGCTCAACTAGAAGACCTCCAATGTTCCTTTCAGATTCTATTCTATTCTATTCTTATGAGCATATTCGCTTTCTATGATTCATTAAAGCAAAGCAATTTGTTTCTGACATTTTTATAGACCTGAAAAAAGGCTTTTGTGACAACCATTGCTTTAAAATATCAAGTAATTAAGTTTTAAATCTTCAAAGAGGCTTGAAGTAAGTCAGGACATTTTAATGGATTGCAAAACAATGCTGTTCTTACATGAGGTCTACAGTTTTTCTTCCAAATTCATTTTCAAAGAAACCGCTCCATGAAAGACAGAGGAAAAATAAGACAATGGCAAAATGCTGCTATGACAAAAAAAAAAAAAAAGATTTATATCCTATCTAGTTGCAATTATGGAATTCAAAGTAATTTATTTAGGAATTCCTAAACAGTGTAATCTCTAATCACTGGCTATTCGGACTTCCTAACCTGCATATTTGTGGTTATACCCTCTTTGGATTACTCGGAAATATAGTCACTGTCATTCCCCCCCCCCCAAAATAGGAAATATATGTGGTGATTCTTCTAAGTAGATTTATTTATTGTTCTATACCTATAGACAGAATCTTGCCACACTAAAGCACTTTTCTATCTACACAAGCCTAAGCTCAAAGAACCATCAGGAAGGTAGCTCTTTCTCTCATACATACTATCAGAACTGAGTTCTCTCTTACTCCTCTGGAGTACACTCTCTCCCTCCTGAGAATCTAGACCAGTACAATCCCGCACAGTCATACTTTCTTCTGTTTGTTGGTCATTGACATATGATACTTATCAGAACAGCAGTTATATGAATTGTATCAGAAAAAATGTGGGTTGATACACTCGTCAGACATTTCTTTAGCAACGTTTTTTTTATTTAAGAAACACAAGAAACAGTGCATATAGGTAGTCCTCAACCTATGACCACTGAAACTTTGGACACTAAGTGATGCAATAATTAAATGAGCATTCATATAACCAAACTCAATGTTTCATACTATTTTTTACTGACGTTGTTAAGCAAATCACATGATTGTTACATGAATCCGGCTTCCTCTGTTGACTTTGCTTGTTGGTGTGACTATGGGTGGTGTGACAGTTGTAACTTCAATGATGGATCATAAGTCACTTTTTCTGAGGCCATCGTAACTTTGAACTGTCATTAAATGAAGCAAGGACTACCTGTAGGTTTATGGGTATGCACTTGAGCTATTGCTCCAGTTTTGGGGGTTTCTGTCCAATTTATTATTTGTTACAGTTAACATCTGCATATTAACAGCATGCAATGTGGAATAGAAGAGAAATGGCAAGAAAATCTAAAAGGGAATTAAAGAAACAAGGTTCAAGCTAACCCCAAGAGGAACTCTGACTGAATGCTGAGATGTCAGCAGTATCCAGCATCTGTTCCAAAGAAATTGACCTTCACTTTCAGCATAATTGTATTTGGCAAAGTTCTATTATGTATCTCAGTGATTGATTACTGATACGATCTTAAGAGAAAATATCAAAAACAAGATGAAAATAGATGAAAATCAGAAGACAAAACAAACCATGAAATATTCCTCTTTTCCATACTTGCTGATAGAATACCATGAACACCCACATAGTGAAAATTACCCATGCCTTAATTAAATAATTATTTAGTGAAAAAAGCTAAGTTTTTTTTTAAATTTAAACAAAAACATCCAAATTGCTTTTTAAAATTGTTTTATACAGTCTATTTTGTACATAGTAATTGAAGGACGTATGGATGCTTTCAGGTTTCTTTTAAGCCATTTGTTAGTTTATGTATTGACGAATCCATTCATAAAATGCTGAGACCTTAGTATAAACTCCAGGGCGGTTCCTTCGAGCACATCCTTCACCCCAGCTGACAATGCCTGTAAGGTACCATCTGTTTCCTTTTCCTAAACAGGCTAATGGTCCTCCAGAATCACCCTAAAAAGAAAGGCGGAAGTCTTGCTATTAGAAAAAAAAAATAGTTTCATTACATTCTAAACATAGTGACATTTAATTTTGTATTATTGACTAACAGAATGGGAATTTCTTCTGAAGATTACGTCGTCCAACTTCCCGGTCAATGCAAGATACCCCATAGCGTTTTGTCAGATAAGTCTAGGAAAGAACAGCCTATTCCACAGGCTGTTATATTAAACTGCTTTCAGCATTACAAATTTGCAATATTTCTAAAATTTGGCCTAAAATTCCTTCCTATTTTCTGTTGTCATCCATTAGCTCTGGATGAAAATAAAAGCCATTATTGGCTTTTGAAACAACAGAGAGTAACAAATAAACAAACAAATCCTTTGTTCATTTTCGGTACAATTGCTTTTCAGATCTTTGAAGACCATCTCTTTTCACTTTTTCACTTCTCAGTCAAAATTAACAAACACAGGTCTTTAAGCCATTATTCATCTAATTTAGTTTCTAGTTTTTCACAATCTTTGTTGTTTTTTCCCCACATGCAGTCCAGCTTCTTGATGCTAATCTCAAAATGTGCTCAAAATTGACCCAACATTTCAAATGTAATCTGCCTGATACCCAAGGAAACTGTTGATTCTATGACTTTTCAACCAGTGGTACGGGTATCACTTGTGGTACATTGGCACTTGGCAGGTGGTACGCGACCATCCTAGAAAAGTAGTCGGGGAGGGGAATGAGAGCGCTGCCGGGCGGGCAGGCAGGCAGGTGTCTTGCTCGGCGGTACCTTGGGGGGCACTTTTTTTTAGTGCCATTGTAACTTCAAATAGTCACTAAGCAAACTGTTGTAAGTCGAGAACTACCTGTACTTTTATCACTTTTTTCCTTTTTTTTTTTTGGTCATCATGTTTTTGACACCTTGCTACGCGACTGGTGGTACTCTGATATTGCCATATCCTAAAAGTGATACAATGGGTGAAAAGGTTGAAAAGCCCTGACATACTCTATTCTGAAATTGCAAAAGCTTCTATATTTCTAGTGTAAAATATTTCATCTATTTCTATAAGTAATGATCAATGTTTTATATTTATATGGGAGCTGTCTTTACGTATTTCCTAATTTTGTGAAATTAGAAAAACATTATTTATTTAGTAATATAATATTGTAGAACTTATTCATCATCACCTTTTAACTTCTACTAATACAATCCTTTTAGGCAAATATTACTGACAGACAAGTCACAGGACTTGTCTTCCTTTCCTTTCAAAACAGATATATGCAAAGTATTCTTTAATCATTTCATTTAAAAGGCAGTCATATAAATCATGTTTTCTTTACACAGTTTTGTTTTTGGCTTTACCTGACATGCATCAATACCACCATTAAGGTTCCCAGCACAGAGCATTTGAGATGTAATTAGATAATCATAAAGTTTGTTGCAAACACTTTGGTTAATGATTTTCACTTTGGCTTCTTGTAGTGTTTTTGTAAGCTGACCTAAATTGATAGAAACATTGTGTAAGTATAGCATTTGCTACACCATCCATTTGCAAATGATAGCTAGTATAAATTAACCAGGGAATAAACCTGTCTGTTGAAAGAGGGTAGAAGAGTCCAAGGCATGCCCAATGTGTTTCTACAGTGGTTGGAATCAAATAGAGCATTCCAGAAGGTGAAGAACATCAACCATTTTTAAGACATCTGAAACTTAGATTGCCACTTGTACCAATTTTTTTAAAAAAGGAGGTGGAAATTGATAATATAGATCACTGATACTGATTATTGTGGTCCAGAATATATTTCAAAGTGGTTGATGGTCTTTCTTCACTCTTCTGGAATGAATTATTTTTGTAACTTATGAAACTGCAATGAAAACTCTCAAGATCTGTCCTATATCTTTGAACTTTTACTATGTTGTGTTCCTTTATAGCAGGGGTGTCAAACTGCCAGCCCACAGGCCAGATGCATCATACGGAGGTTGCCTACCCCAGCTCCGGCAATGCATGTGATGCGGCAACTTTGACACCCGTGCTTTATAGTAATTTACATAGGTATGGTACATTAAATAAATATAAATAAAATTGTACATTTCTTCAAATTGAAAAATATGTCTTCTAACTGGCATAAGTAATGCCATGCTAAGAACATTATGAAATTATCTTGATCAGCTAAGGATATGTTTTCAGAACTGCAATAGATTTTCCTTAATCCTATTAAGTTTAATTAGATTCATAACATTATATGGAAATTGATTTCCAAAGCAGCTGACAGTTATGATTCACAAAAAGATACAACAGATTAGGGATATTTGCAATTTGAAATGAACGTACTATTTTCTTTTACAGCTCCCCAGCCAGTTACATAGCAGACAGCTCCATAAATAAATACTCTAGGACTGCTCAGTAAACATATGGGCTGAACCAGCTCAGTGAAAAATACTGGTGCCTCCATTTCCAAGAGCGCAATGTCATAATCTGAGACGTATTGGTCATAATTTGGATGGACTATTATCCTTTTGATGGATCTCATTACTGCTTGATTATTGCTGTATTTATTTATGCTTTTAATACCCATATATGCTGTCCAGCCAGATGCTATGGAGTATCTGAAAAACAAAGATTACAATTCTCCAAGTAAAAGTTGTCATCGAGGGGATTTATTTTGTAGCAAGTTCTGCCTTTCTCCTGGGATTTAGCAGGCCTTCCCCCTTTTACTCTTCCAGGAAGCTGTTAAGGCTACCATTAGGCTCTGGCATAGTAAGGTTATATTGAGGAATAGATGGAGATGATGGGTTAGGCCTCTTGGTTTTCTAATTTTTCTTATTTTTAATGTCTGTGGTTTTATTATTGTTGTGAACTGCCACATGTCAGCTTCCTTTTAATTTTTGTTTAAAATAAAGAGCAAGGCAGAGAAGAGACAGATATGAATGTGATGTCTATGAGCTAAACAATAGTTAAATAAACATATTACAATAGACTGCATTAGTATTGTCAGTAATATATGCTTTGCATTATATAATGCATACCTTATAGACTCGGAGTCCTGAAAGCAATGTGCAGCTGATACCAACCACCGATTTGAAATTACAGATCCACCACATATATGACCAGATGTTCCCAGTTGCAAGCTTGCTTGCCATGGCCACTTTCCAGGCCTAGATTCTTCACCACCAACAATTCTGAATTTCTTTATCTGACTCTTTCCACATGCTAAAAGAGAGGTGCTGATTACTTCATATGAATTGTACAATACAATCCTGAATATGTACAGACTTTGATTTGCATCCCTTGGAAAAAAATATAGGAATACCCCCCTCCCCCATGATTACAACTCCTTTCAGATATTCATACATTACCACAATTCATTTCATCAAATCCATCTTCACAGTCTTTTATACCATCACATTCTGGATTTAATTTTTTGGGACATTTCCCATTTAGACATTTATATGAATGAGGTAGACACCCTTTATAGGCTGAAAAGATGAAATAACAGGTGAAAAAATTGTATTTTTTATTTTCTTTGCAGTTTAGATTTCTGCTCTATATTTCTTCCAGGGGATTAAGGTGGTACTTTTAGCACTCTACCCTCACATTTTTACCTAACAGACCTGTAAGGTAGGTTGGGCTGAGAGATGGTGACTCACCCAAACCTATAGTTTCTCAGATAGGTTACATATTTAGTGTTTTACAAATATAATGGCATCATTCTGGTTGGATAAACACTGTATTTTATATATCCTAGGTACATGTGAAGAAGGGCAACGGTAAAATTCCAATTATATCAGTGTATTGCTTGACGTGATTCTGCATTTAAATACCCCATGACTTCACTTAGGCGTCTCTGTGTGTGAATGCACATGACGCTCACAAACATTTATGGCACCTGTTTTATTTATTTATTGAATTCAGACACTGCCCATTTCACTATCCAAGTGACCTGTTAGCAGAGGATTACCTTCTGTAACAATGGAGACATCGCCACCCTCCATTACCTAATATACATTGGAGTTGAGCAGCTAATACATTTAAATAAATAAATAAATAAAATGTGCTTTGGCCAACTTGGTCTGCCCTGTAGCCTTCATAAAATCTAGAGCATGGTTGTCCAACCTTCTGGCTTGCCTGGCCACATTAATTGAGGAGAAATTATCTTGGGTTGCATATAAAGTATATAATAGAGTTAATGCATATAAATAATAAACTATGTAATATTTTAAATAAATTATAATATTTGTTTAATAATATATTATTATATATAATATAGTATATATAGTATATAATATTATATATAATAATAAAATAAATAATATTTTTTATTATCTTTACTAGCTGTCGTAGGCCTCATGTGGCCCATGGGCCACAGTTGGACATGCCTAGTTCAGACCCTTTATTCTGGATTAAAGCAGCAAAGTACAGGTAGTCCTCAACTTACAACCACAATTGACCCCACAGTTGCTAAGCGAGACAGTTAAGTAACTTTTATCCCATTTTATAACCTTTCTTGCTGCAGTTATTAAGTGAATCACTGCAGTTGTTGAGTTAGTAACATGGTTGTTAAGTGAATCTGGCTTTCCCGTTGACTTTGCTTGTCAGAAGATCATAAAAGCCAATCACGTCACTCCGGGACACTGCAACCATCATAAATGTAAGTCATTTGCTAAGCATCTGAATTTTGATCATGTGATCATGGGGATGCCGCAACAGTCGTAAGTGTGAAAAATGATCATAAGTTACTTTTTTCAGTGCTGTAACTTTGAAAGGTCATTAGATGAACTGTTGTAAGTCAAAGACTACCTGTATCAAGTATTAGAAATTTAAAGAAAAGAGACATATTTTGAATGTTTCTGAAATTATCACTATATATGACCGCTACATATCCTAACAGACCACAAATAATGCTCAGGAAGATTTAAGTGAACCTTTTGAACATATTCAATTTTTTTCATACAGGCTATGCATTACATTTTTAATTTCTACTTTCAATCCAAAATTAGTTTAAGGTATATATGTATGGCAACTGTCTTCCTCCCACTCCTGACCTGCATTCTTACAGCTGTTATCTTCTTTGCAAGACTGGGAATGAGGTTTACACTTCACAGTACTACAATTTAACTGTGCAGATTGCAACCTAAAGAAGTCTTAATACAGTCACACTATAGCATTCAACTGTAGTATTTTTTTACAGAAAGCATATTCACACAACACCAATCTATTTTGATTAAACAATATTTTCATACTATGCAATTTGTTGTATCAAAGTTTGTGATTAAAGATAGGAAGAAGTTGAATAGTCATAGCTCATTCAAGCAAATTCTAGGTTTGTTTTTATTACAGGTACTGCCCCTTTTAGTGACCATTCAAAGTTAGGGTGGTGCCAAAAAATGAAGCTTTATGACCAATCCTTGCATTTACAACCATCACAGCATCCCTACAATCACCTGGTCAAGATTCAAATGTTTCACAACCAGTTGGCATTTATGACTGTTGCATCATTGTGGAGTCAAGCGAATGTCATTTGCATGTTTCACGACAGCTTCCAACAAGCAGAGTCAAAGGAAAAGTCAGCAGTAAGAACACAAATCATGGTTACGTGATATCTCACTAAACAACCACTTAGTGGCAGAGTTGCCAATCCCAGTTGTATCATTTGGCAAGGGTTATCTATATTGTTTATGCCAGACCCCAGAAAAAATGGCATAAAAGAGTAAATTCACAATAAGACAAAATCTAGATTCAGATTTAATGAATTTATAATTCACAATAAATCAAAAAGGCAATTTAAAAAACAAGGTTCTGTTTTGGAAGGTATTTACACATTACATCCAACTGTATGTGCACTTTTGGTTTTTATGTGATGTGTGAACTCCTTATTATCATAACCTCAGGTAATGACCTCTGGAATCATCCTTAGAATTCTGCTAGAGGTGGGTAGGCTGATTTGCCCAGTCATGGAATTCAATTCCCTGAATGTAGGAAAAAGTAATTAGTGGAAGTCAGCTTGTACAAAGCAAAAAGGTGCCTAGGTGTTCTGCATACTTTAACAAGCCTTTGGAGCATCAGAGTTGTTTATACAACAGATTAATAGTAACAAGGGAAGTCATTTTATTATGACAAAAATGCCAACATGGGGTCCTTAATAAAGGCACCACCTTCATAAAATATTTAGTTAAGAATTTTTACTTTAAGTAGCACTGATTTTCCTTGCTTTCTGCAAAATTTTTATACAAAGCAAAGCTCAATTATATAAAGAATTTTTAACATTGATCAATGAAAGTAATAGTAAAGTTTCTAAGCTGAGCTTGACTTCTAATGAATTTTAGGTTGTTTTTCTTGATAACAGTTTGAAAGTGGTTTCCCATCACTTCATCAGGGAATTTCTTTGTTTGAACAATCCAGCTTAGCCAACACTTTGTACTTCTGATGTATTGTCCCAAGGGTGCTTTTTCAAAAGGCAACTGGATTTGCTTTCTTTTTCCTTGAAGCCATTTTGCTTCTCATCCAAAAAGCTTCTTCATTTCTTGGATGAGAAGCAAAATGTCTTCAAGGAAAAACAAAGAAAGTCCAGTTGCATTTTGAAAAAGGTCTTCTGGGACAGCCATGACCTGGATAACTGAGAATCTCCATAGACATTCTTGATGTCTTCATCCAAATATTAGCCAGAAACAACTCTGATTAACTTCTGTTATCAAGGGTAGCTAGATAGATCCATATGGTTGGGCAATATTTGACAAAACCAAAAATTATCATTTTTTTTATTTGTATAAATAAAAATTAGAGATTCACCATAGGAATCTAATGATCATCTAACTTAGCAAATACCAAGCAATATTTAAAATGTTAAATTTAGCTTATAAACAACTTACCACAATCTATTTCATCACTTCCATCTGTGCAGTCATTCCACCCATCACATTTACTATTTAAAGGAACGCATGATCGGTCAGAACATTTAAACTGCCTTGGACAAGCTAAAAGAACATAATGTTTGAAATAGTTGCAGTTGTGAAAAATATTGTATAACAGACCAGTCTAATCAGGGTATGATGCTTGCTGTGCAGAATATTATATTTTTTAATCTATGTTTTTTTTAATTTTTTGAAATGGCTTCTAAATTTTCCAAATAAGAAAGGAAGTTTTGAATATGAAAGGAAGCTTCTCAATTGTCTTTTCAAAGTTCTTTTATCTTTTATGTATCAAATAGAATGCATAGAATTCCATGAGCAGTGTTCATAAGAGAAGTAACAATATGAGTCTTTAAGCTTATTAAATATAAGCTAATGCAAATTAATATAAGTTAATACACAAATTAAACTTAATGAGCCTTTAAACAATTTCACAAAGTTGCAGACTTTTGTTAATAAGAGGCAAGTAACACTTACGATCTGTATGGCTGAAAGCTCTAAATTCTATATAAAAACCTCTGTGTGTAACCAATTCATCGGAATGAAAGCTAATTGAAATGGAATAGCCATATTCCTTAACCCTGTTTTCTTCTGCAATAGCTTTGCAATACCTGAAAAGGATCCATATGAAGTAAAATTGGAGATATATCATTTTAACAGTTTAAATTATTATATTTACTCTTCATGTGTTATGACTTGCCATTTTGACACCTCCCAGTTCAGGGCACTAAACAGCAGGATATTTCCCTAACCTCAGCTCAAGGATGCCTCACCAACTACTCAAACCTTGCTCAATGCATACTGCTTTGGTGGTAACTATTGTGTTGACGTGGCAGAGGCTGGGATCTGCCAAAAAATTCCTGGCCAGTTTTTGTGGTGGCATGGCAGGGACCTGTCTCTTTGGACTACCCTAAGATATAGACTGTCCATCAGAGTGTGTGTGTATATATTATTGTCAAAATACACACACACACACACACACACACATTGGGCCTCTGTTTTGGCATTTAGATAGCCTGTTCATCAGTGTGTGTGCCTTATCTGATCTGATCTTACCTTACCTTACATTATCTTTCTTAACTCATCCTATCTTGTCCTGTCTTGTTTTATATCTATCTATCTTACTATATACCTTATATTTTATATTTTATCTATATTAAGATATATAGAAAGAAAAGCACTAAATGAATAGAAATTGCTCAGCAAAGTGTTTTTTTTTCCTAGTTGAGCCACACAATCTGTTACTAGCAGGAGTTACCCATTGAGTAGCTTCTCAACAGAGCAGGAGTAGAGGACATCCTTGCATTACTGAGTACACCTTTTCATTATCTGATAATTTTATTTAATTAAGTAAAACAACTGAATTACTATTTTTTAATAATTTCATAGAATTAACAGTGTAAATGTAGCTTAATTCAGAAAAGTAATTTTTCTTGTTTTATTTTGTTTTTAGGTTTGTTTATTTCCTTTATTATTCTGTGGGTTCCATACAATAAGATAATTTGAAAAGTTGTCAATTATTTTTCTGTTTTATTTTTAAATACTTAATGAAAAGCATAAAAGCAATGTATTAAATGTGGGCTTCACAAGAGGGCTGTAGCTTACCTTACTCCATCAATTGCCAGCCAATCTTTATCACATCTCTTGGATCCAGGAGATTGTTCCTGAATTTGTATTACAATAATTTTTAACATCAATCTATATCCAGGGAGTGGGGCCTAAGATGTTTTTTTTTAAAAAAAAGAAAATAAGAATTTTAAAAACAACAATTTGAAAACTACATTTGTTATAAGGTTTATATATCATTATATATCATTTCTATACAAATGATATGCTAGTTTACTAAGAATCCCATTGACATCAGTGGGACTTACTACTTGGTTACTAGATACAACACTGAAGCCTGATATTTCTTTTGGTCAGCATAGATTTGTAATTTCTACTCATCATTTCACTCATGTATTCCAGAAACTACAGTATTCATCAAAAGACACAATCATTCATGAGATGAGAGTCTTTCTCAAAATTTGTTGCAAAAAGCAATTACCATTTTAAAGTAGATTTCCTTGCCACTTTACAAAAACAAAATACAAATACTATAGAGTAGGGGTCTTCAAACTTGGCCCTTTTATGATTTGTGGACTTCAACTCCCAGAATTCCTCAACCAGCATATTCATATTCATCTGAGCTGTGCATCAGTCCATGTCAGATATTATGCAGTTTGTATCAGTGTACAATAAATTGAACAGAGGTTTATGAAAAAAGTTGGTTCATATATAGCACTAAGCCATGATATGGTTAGTTGTTGTTTAATTATCATGGTGTGCATACCCATATATTTTTTTCTTTATTTCGTTCTTGGGATGGTATTGCCTTATAATCAGCTACAGGTAATCCTCAAGCTGTGACCATTTGTTCAGCCAGTGTTCAAATAAGGGAGACTTACAAGTGGTCCACAAGGTTGTCCACAAGAATTGTGTTATCATCCTGCAGTCATATGATTACCACATGCAACCTTCCCTGCCTGATTCTCACAAATGAAGTCAATGAGGAAGCCAGCAGGAAATGTCAGAAATTGTCGCTGTAAGTCACTCCCACTGCTTTTTCTCACAAGGAGCCTCAACTACAGGCATCTCATACTCTGTAGCACCCCTACACACACACATACACACATACACTGTATTGTATGGTGGCCCACAGCACCCCCTCACATCTGTGGCCCCCATCAACCTCCCTCTACTCCCTAGTACCCACTTACGGCCCTTGCTGGCTTGCTGGCTATAAGAGTACATACCCTGATAATCCAGTGGCAGTCAATATTTGGTGGATAGTAACTAGGATAATAAGGTGAAATTATACTCCCATTCCAGGAAACATACCAGCCACCACAAACTAAAGGAAAAAAGCAATACAACAGTTTATGCACATTCCTCCAAGTGTGCAGATGAGATCCCTCTTTCAACATTAGAGTTCCTTTTATCTGTAATAGTACACAAGGCAGAAAAAAGGTATCAGAAGTTGTAGGACAAAAGAATTAAAAAGAACACTCATTCTAGAATTCTCTCACTTAGGTTTAATTTCACCCCTCCCCCAAATTTTATCACTTTTATTTTAATCACCTAACTTGTATCAAAATTGCTTCACATTTTCTCTGTCTCTTTTAAATATAACAATTTGCTTTTTGGCTACATCCTTTTCTATCATCTTCATTTTTAAAGTGGTTATTCCCTTATATACATTTTTTTCTATCATCCACAGCTTCTTTCAATTTATCATCCACTATGTATCCTCCTTTATGTTTTTTTTCATACTCCCCAGTTCCAGACATTCCTGTGACATCATGCCATACAATCCTTTTCGCTATATTCCAGGTCATTTTTCACTTCATTTACTTTCCATGAATTCTGTTGTGTATTAATCCATTGTACAATCCTTTTTCAGAAAGATTTGTATTCTTTTCCTATAGTTCCCATATTGCAGATTATCTTCATTTCCTTCCTTTTTCTTCCATGATCTTTTTCTCCTGTGATAATACTCTTGGTGCTGTCAAAAAATGGTGTGTTCTACATACACTGCCTATCAAAACCCATGTAGCCCTTCCCTGTTTTTCCTCAGTTTTTGATTATGACCAATTAGATTGCTGATAATTTTAAATAATGCCCATTCCTTTACCATGAATATGCATGTATGTGTGAATAGGCATTTTATTAAATTATGATTTAATGATACAGATAAAGATTTTTTTTTTCTGAGCAGATACTCACCACTTATTTTTTCCATTCATTTTTTGGTCTCCAAATGATCCCATGACTTTTAATATTCTTTTTTCATCTAATTCTCACCCAATATTATCAACTAGAATATTTTTCCCCTGGATCATATTAATTCAGACTGTTATTCAATGTTTCCCAAAACTCATATCTGGTTGTTCAATTATAACCATTCAATAGAATGTAACATGTAACTATTATTTAATTATGAATTCCTTCTTTCATGCCCATTGCAATACCTATATATAGCACCAATTTTTATTTTCTGGCAAACAATAGATGTCCTTTAATTCATAATTAAATCTACATTTACACTTCCCTGCACGTAATCATGAACTCTAGTATATTCCTTTTTTTTGTTTCACAGAAATACATTTCTTTTTCATTCATTTAAGTAAATAATGCATATTCTATATCATTTTCTTCTCTTGCAATCTTCCATATGTTATGGCCATCAACAGGTAGGCCCATAGAGACTGACTACTGCAACCATCACAATGTTAGTCACTTGAAGTCTTCATAAAATTCTTTTTAGTAAGCTAGAGAAATTGTAGACTAGGTTAAAAATCTTAATTATCTGTGCCATATGCCAATGTTAAGGACATTACCAATCAGCTTTGTCATATTTGGCTCAGTACTCCACGCATTTCACCAAAGTTTAATGTCACACAATCTAGTATCACTAATCTGTAGACTACAATCCATTATTGTGGTTTTCATATCTAATCAACTAGGAGTAGTGGCAATGTACTAACGTCAAAATGTCACATTCAAAACCAAGCAAACAATAATTTTCCCATATAGTGGTTCATAATTTTGAATGGAAGATCAATAATAGTTAATAAACATTAGAGAACTAATAAAGTTCTGGTAACTACATACCAATTTTAGGAACAGCTTGGAAATATGCTTTCAATATATTACTCTTTTGCCGTCGATCCAGTGAAAAAGTGACCAACATTACATTACTGGATGAAGTTAAACGTATAACTGGAGGCTTCCAGGCTCCTGACATTCCACACCACCTGAAATACATATTGGACAATAACTTGTGTTGGTTTAATTGTCATCCTAATAGTCAATAATACATAATAAGCCACTGTATAAAATATAATTCTTTACATATTTGTGAGAATAAAAAAAAACATTTTGTACAATGATATACCTCTAAAATGTATAGCCGTTTGTCATAATCAGGCGCCTTCTACGTATATTGAATATCAGTTTTTACAGTTTCTATTTAGCTGACTAAATTCTTATTAATTCATTACTTTTCTTCCACCAACAAATCAAAGGGTGCATGCAACTGTAGTTTGTGTAATAGCGAGTTGAGTGCTTCTTCTAGAAATTAGGGAGAAATCGTTTGCCATCTAAGACAGGGGTCATCAATTCCTGGTCCATGGACTGGCACTGGTATGCCAGAAACCGGTCCGGCTAAACAAGTGAAGCCCCATCCACATGCAGGCAGCACACAAAATCACACCTCCTCTGGTTTGTGGAAAAACCTCTCTCTATGGAACCGGTCCCTGGTGCCCAAAAGGTTGAGGGCCACTGATTAAGAGTACCGAGATCCCTGAACTAGCACTGTCAGAGTCTGACTCTCTGCCCATCAGCATTCTGTCACCGAGTTGCACATTACACAAGCATAGGATTTGTCTTTTTATTGTGCCTATTCACAAAAGTCTTTTAATGAATTCCCTACCTGGTAATGATCTTGTTCTGCAAAGGAAGAAGAAAATCATACGCAGATAGCCTGTGCGTTGCACAACTCCCAGGAACCACATCATATGAAGTTACAACTACCAATCTCACAACATATTCGGGTGGAACACGTAGCCTCCATTGATAAAAAGATTTCTTGGGATTCAATAGAGTTAATGTCCTATTATTACCAGGCTTTGCATAAAGGTCAAAGGCTGCTGGTAGACAAAACAAAAACAAATCAGTGGCTGAAAACCAGGAAGAATGATAAACTGAAAGAGAAATTAATCCCAATTCCATGGTGCAGATCTCAGAGAACAGGCATTTACATTTAAAAAGGGCAACCTTGTCTATCTCATCAGACAAGCTTGAGTATGCTGTGAGACAGTACTATGTTTTCATCCTATAAAGTTGTCCCTTTGGGGAGAGAACTGAGACATAAAGGCTGTGAAAGGAGATCTTTTTCATGTATCTGATTTATGACTGGGAGACCCGAAATTCTAGAAGAAATCCAGCATCTTTCACAAGCCTGTACAATGCAAACCCATTCTAAACTTATCAGCCAACGGTGTCTCTAAGTGAAACTTACCTGGTTAAGTAGACACTACTTGAATCAATCTTTTTGTTCTACAAAGTCCAAATAGCAATCTTGTTGTTGAGAAATAAATTATATGGACGTTATTATATGTGTCCTTGGGAGGTTTAAAGCTTTTAAATTTTAATTTTAAATTAACTGCTATTAGTAAATCTTTTGTTGTTGATAAATGATCCTTTAAATTTGAATATCCTTTGCTCTTTAAAAAATGGGATAAAGTCACTCATACCATCTTTATGAAGAATGAAGAATCAAGACTGACTTCTCTAAGGCTACCTCTGATAAATGGAATTTCATTAAATTAAATTAACTCAAAACTGCATCCTATCAGCAAAACTTGTTAGAACAATCAATCTAGGGTTTTTTTAAAAAAAGATCATTCAAATAGCAAGGTCATGATGTATGTAGCTGGTAGCATTAAGTAATACCTCTTCTCATGTAACATCTAATTAATTATGGCATCCTAGATGAACAAAACAGCTCAGAAGAGATTTGCTATATCATGCCATAATCTTTTAGCAACATGCTTTGAGGCATGGCAGCAATTCTCAAGTGAGATTCTGGTTCTTATCATTGCTGGGAGGGGGTAGGGAGTTGAAGCAGAGAACAAAGCTGCACTTCAGTTGGTATATATGAAAATAACAGGATATGGGCTTTGGGAACCAATCTACAATTGGTGACCTCATTTTTCAGAGGCGCCATCAGATAAACTGGAGTAAAAGTCAAGTTTTCCTTTCAGCAGAAGAAGCAGAAATGCCATCAAACACAGCACAACTGAAGTTTCACAGTTTTGAAGTAAATGAGTAAGCAATATTGAACATCATATTCCCTCTCTCCAATAGCTAAAGAGCCAGTCAAAAACCCATCTTTGCTAAGCATGCCATATATTTCTATATGTCTGTCTATAATTAATTAATTAAGTGGCATGATTCCAAAATGATGCTGAGCAGCTTAAGCTTTAAACAGATTTAAAATAACAAGAAAAAAGATAATGTATATTGGATAAACCACAGTCCCTATGTCATAAAAGAGTTCTAACCACCTACCAAAGATTTAGGAGGACAGCCAAGTTTTTAAGAGGCCAGGATGGGGGGCTGGATCTCTAGGGGGATATCATGCCAGAGGGTAGGTGCTATGAAATAAAAGACACACTTCTTGGATCTCAATAGATGTCATTGGTTGATCAACAAAACTAAAAATGGACCGATAATGTCAATAGGCAGAAATCATATAAAATATGGGTTCCTCAAATGACCTGGCCCTATATCATTAAGGCTCTTGGGGTGCATAGAGGCATGGAGAGTCTCCCCATCAAGGAACAGGTACAACTAATGGAACAGAGGAAGCTGTGCAAAGGCCCTCTTAACTAAAGCTACTACCTGGTCTGGAACAGGGAATGCAAGACAACCCCCAGGTTGCATGCTTGAATAGAGAAGTGCAACTCCATTCAAGTTTAAAAATGGAATATCGCTATGCCCAGGTGGTCTTATATTCACAGCCACTTGATTTGTCAGAGGTGAGCTTGAGCCTGTTCTTCACCATCCAGAATTGTACAGCTTTCAGCTAATGGACAGTATGTTGAAAGCACCATTCAATTTAAGGTCAAGATGTACAGCTGGGTGTCTGCTGCATATTAATAATACAGGCTCCCAAACTAATAAATGACTTCTCCCAACAGTTTCATGTAGATGTTAAACAGGATGTAATCGACAGAAAGAATATCCTTGAAGATCAAGAGGAAGATCCACAACCAAGACAACAGTCAAATAAAAGAAATCCAAATAAACATCTCAGACAAGAACCTCCATAGTTTTCATAAAGGGAAAGGGAAACAGGGGGAAGCATATTCAGAATTGCAAGATTCAGTTACTGTAATCTTATAATAAAAGCAAGATTAGCATGAATGACTAATTCCTAGTGTGGTCTACCTTAAAGTAGGAGAGAGAATGTATCTATGCAGCTGCTGAGATTAACTTGGTCTGGATTCCTTCTATTAGTGTCATCTTTCAAAACCCAGGAAGTGTGTCATGAAGCCCGCTATTGGAACAAACTGCCATTTTGTTCTTGATTTTGATTTAATTTTTATTTTTGTTCTTCTTTATTTTGTTTCTGGTTTTTCATGTTGCATTTTATTGATATTAAAGTGAACCATCCAGATTTTTTGGAGTTGGGTGGTACTTAAAACTAACTAAACTAAACTAAGCTAAACTAAACTTAAATCAGAAAGTGTGTCTAATTCAAGCACTTTCAAATGAAAATTATTATTAAGCAGTTTGTATTCTTTGCAATAATTCTTGGACTAAGTAGTTTCCTACCCTTCAAATTCAGCTCAAAACAAGTGTAAAAACCACTTTCCTTTTTTTTTCAGGCTACACAATGGGTCAGGGTAGAATAGCCCTTACCTGATTTCAGCATTGTGTCACAGGCCATAGAATCAGATTCTGGAACAAAAGAAGATAAATGCTGTCATAAGTAATATTGATATATATATGCAGGCCTGAACATTTCTGAATTTATTAAAAAATAAAAATATATATAAAACTTCACCTTACCAAAAAGTTCCATGGTAATTATATCAAAGTCTTCTTCTAAAGGAAATGTTTCAGCAGTGTTATTAGCTATTGCAGGTATTTTTTTAAAACTGATTTGCTTCTGATATGCTGAGGATAGGTTTTTGATAGGAAGAACAATATTTTGGGGCCCCCAAAATGTGCTCCAGTAATAGGCTCGAGCACCACTTTTTCCATCACTGGAGGAAGATAACAAAATGAACTTTGTTTCCAGTATACAATCAGATTTTATTTCAATATACATCTTTGCCTTTTGGTAGGGGTCAGGGGACTGCAACTGGCTTCTAAATGGCCTAACAGAGGAGCATATCAACAAGTAGACATAATCAGGAGAAAGAAATATAGTTAATATAAGCATGCAGGTTGTCACTGACTTATTACCATAATGGAATATAGAATTTTCATCATACCTCATGATGATTATAAGTCAAAGCACTCATATGACCAACCCGATTTTTTAATCTTTTATTGCAGTAGTCATTAAGCAAACACTGCGGTCACACAGTGAAGGCAATGGTCATAAAATAAGTCCATTCATTCACATGGGCAACTTTTCCCACAAACCAGCCCAAAGGGTCAGAAACCAGCAAAAAACATTGTAAATTGCAATTACATGACTGCAGGTTGTTGCCATTGTCACAACTCTTGAACTGGGTTATACGCACATTGGGAGGTTCTTCATAACTTCAAATAGTCACTAAGCAACCAGTCATTAAAATAATCATACTTGGTAAAATAAGCAAGGAGATGTTGAGAGACATTCAGAGCTTCAAATCCTTACAATAATGCTTGTATCCCAAAAACTTCAGCATTTAATCTGGATTCTTTGCAATATTTTATATTTATCATTTTTAATCAATGTAGCATTTTTTACTTAATCTTAAAAGTTTGCATATTTAAAAATATCTACTAATCTTAAATTTTGGCAAGTCTGAACAGAATTAACTCCCTTTCTGATAGTATCTACTCTATTGAACATGATCCCTGAGAACATGAGTAGAAAATAAGCAGACATGGTTGACAATATTTTATTTATGAAAGTTACATAGTATAAGAATGACTTACCTGAATGCAGCAATAACAGATTTCAAGTAATAATTGCCTATAGTAGAAGACCCGTATATTTCTGCAAACTGATAGTTAAACAATTAGAAAGCTAAATATAAAGTGGAAAATGTATTATGTCCTGTATAATTGCATCATTTTTTTGTTTATTTCCAGCCTGCAGCCGCCAAACATAGTGGACTAGACATAGAATCACAGATGATTCGACATAAATTTTTATTAAAGTGATATCTTTTATAAGGTGACATAAGGCTGTTTCTTTACCAAGTAGACATGACTAAATAAAACAATCAGAATAAATTTCAGCTACTGATTCTTTCAAAGGGATCCTGTGTTATCCGTGTACAAAACAGCTTTGAGACTCGCAACCAATTCATCTGGGAAATACAAACTAACAGAAAGGTGCTTTGTGCTTTCAAACCTTTTTCTGTTAACAAAGGGCCAGAAAGTATATTGATCTCACTAATAAAATTAAATTGAGAGAAAGAGCAAGAAAGCCAGTATTATTATACTGAAGAAGAAATTAAAATGTGTGTGTGTGTGTGTGTTTGTGTGTGTTTATTGTAAAAATTAAAATACAAAACTCCACAAATAGGTACACAATATAAATAAAAGTTTTGATATAAAGGAGCTACAATTGTGCTTATTTTAATAATATATGCAAAGAATTTTGTCATTAGAGTGAAGTTACTTTGTAGAATATTGTCTGCATTAACCTGTTATGATAATTACAACAACATATATTAAATCTATCTAAAATTACATAGATTATAGTCCATTTTACCAGAATTATTCTATGATAGCAAATAATAGAAAGTGTTGTGGAAAAGGTGTCAGGTTGTAAGAATTAAAAAAAAAATCTTATATTGTATGATACCAGCCTTGTAACGGTTAGAAATATGTTGCCATGTCAGGCTCATCAAAGTGATATCCTTGCTCACTAATAAAAATAGAACTAATGGACCACTTTTTGCCCAAAATTTACAGCCTGGAGCAGTCTTTCTTCTATACTTAATGGTACACTGAAAAAGTTATATAAAAATAGCCTTCAATTTCCAACAAACTAGTATTCTTATGCTTTAAATTTATCATGTATATTAACATTCACTTTTAAATATTTTTAAAAAATTATAAATGCAGTGAAAATAGAGCTATTAAATGAACTGCAAAACAAAATAAAATTATTTTATATCTTCCATAACCAAACTTACATAATTCTGTAGTGCTTCAGCTTGCAATATAAATGCATGAGATTTGGGGTTCATGAGGTCATTTGTGTAAGTCAGGTTAGAAATTTCCACACTTCCACCAATGTAGAAGTAAGAGAATGCTGGAGCTGAAAGTATAGGATCCCATATTGGTAAACAATCAAAATGTTCAAAACAGTGAATGAGGAACATTGTCAATAAATGTACTTGAGATTAAAATATGGATAATATTTTGCAGCAATTAAGTATTGTGATAAAGGGGTTATCTTAAATTCACCGTGTTAAAGTGGGCTTTCTAAATATATTTAGTTTTGTTTCTATTGGAAAGATTAGAAAAAGTTACAGGAAATTCATAACAAATAATCAACATATTTAATTGCTTAGACTGTTTATTCTGCTTGCCATTCTGTTAACTCCCCAATAATGTAAAAATAGGGAGTTAAGATGGAACTATTAAAGGAAAATGGTGTTAATTCTACTGGATTTCTCTAATAAGAGAAATGTTAACAATGTTGCTTCTGATGCTTGCAAAAACAAATATTCTGACGTTGTAAGGGTAAGAATGTTATGCATTATTAAAATTCTAATATTCATAAGAAAAGCAATTCAATTTTTCATTGAAAAGCATGCACTTACATAAAATATAGTACATAACCAAAAAAAATACAATGATAATCAAGGCAGCTGCAGGCAATATTTTTAACAGGCATTTTTTCCAAAACTGCATATTCAAGTTTTTCCCCAAATGTTTTAGGGGTATAATATTTTCTGAATTCTGGATCTGAGGAGCAGAAATATTTTGCTGAAAGGACAAAAGAAAGAAAAGCCATTCAAATAAAGCAAAGTAGTCTGTCTTTTTCTTACTTTATTCTACATTTATTATTATATTACTGGAAAAATGCAAATACATAGATAGCTAAATTTTGGACAATTCTGATCTTAAAAAGTGCAAATATGAATGGTAGGAAGAATAATTGCAGTAGCTTACCAATCCAGTATGGAAGTATGAGCCACTGGGATTTGTTATGCTGTATATAATGGAGCAGTGTCTGAAAGGCTTAATTTTCATTATAATATTTTGTTGGCTTGTTCTGTGTAGTTCTTTATATCTGAATCCTCAAGGAATTTGGAGTATTTAAAGATGAGCAAAGAATAATAGCTGTACACCTTGATTTTCCTTTGCTTTATGACTAAAAATCTGTCTGATATCCACGGAGAGATTAGGTGGTTGGAAAGAAAATACACTAGCTGTACAATAGTGTAACTCTTTCTTTTCCAGTTCGCTAGATACAATCTGGAGACACATAAAAATGCTTCTGTGAGAGAAACTCTCAGCTATTCAGACAACCCTACTCTATCCATATTAAGGCAGAATATGCATCAATAGCTCTTTTGTAAATACTGTGAATAATGTTGGTTATTTTTTTTTCAGACTGAATCTCTTGATTTTTGTTTTTTCTTATCATGACACTTTCTAGCTATTTTAATGGCTAAAATAGCACTGGTTTGGGAAGAAAATCCTTTTAGTGGTATCATTTCTAGGAACAAATCAAAATAGGTTAACAATTCATGTAAATCAGAAATATGTAATGTGTACTGTATGGATTTCATTCAGATTGTTGAAATTTGTGGTTGAGAATGTGTGTACTAATTTTATTTTCATAAATTAATTTTATTTATTTATTTCCCACTTACTATTTTTATAAATAATTCAAGGCAGCAAACATATCCAACACACTTTCCTTCTGTTATTTTCCCACAATAACAACCCTGTGTGGTGGGTTGGCCTGAGAGAAAGTGACTGGCCCAAAGTCACCCAGCTAGTTTTCATGGCTAAGGCAGGATTTGAACTCACAGTCTCCCGCTTTCTAGTGCTAAGTGCCTTAATCACCAGACCAGGTTGGCTTTAATAAAGGAAATATGTTTATCATATAAAATATTTATTATTTGAGCATAAGCATATTCTTACCCAAAGGATAGGAAAAACATTTAGAAAACTCTGGATATGCATGCATTTGTTTTTTTAAAAAATAAGGAATTCTACAGATATGGTCCACTGAATTGTTCCTGAGATGCTAAAATAGAAATGGAAGATGCTCTAGGCAATCAGTATTTTCCTTGTGATGATTCACTGTACAGTGCTTTTATAACTGTTTATATGAACAAATCTACAGCATAAGGGCCCACACTTGGTGCTACTCACTACAACCACTGCTTTTCATTTAGAATAAAATAAGGTTATGGGTAACCATAAAGGAAAGTGCATTCGTGAATGAAGACAAATTGCATTCAGTTTACCTTATTAAAAAAAACACATATAGATTAGAAAATTATGGGGACATGGATGGCAGATACAAGGTGGACCATGACCATTTAAGAATAAAAAGAAGGCATATAAACAAATTCACTTTAAGGCTGAGATTAATTATTATTAGCAACGCAAGTTGCAGCAGCAGCAGGCAGAGATCTAGATGAATATAACAGAGGTATGACTATTACTAAGTATTGAACAGAGGGCCAATGGCAACACCATATGAAGAACCTCTGTTCTTTATTACTATTATTATTATTACTATTACTATTTGATTCACTCAACCCCTTTGTATTTGAGATGAGATCAACTGATCTGAATGTACTGCATTGATTTGTATTAGTTTCTTCATGTAACAGGTGAGGAGGAAAAAAGAGGGACAATCAGTTAAATATACATGGCATTCAATTATATAAATCCAGAAATAATTGTTACACTAGATCTGATCCTGTAACTGTAGTAGTTGTATCTACTTTTGAAAATTATTTTTATTAAATTTATTGATTTAAAA